ATACACGCCGCCCTAGAATAAGCACCGCATGTGAGAGGTGAAAAATTTAATAAGCGCCGCGACGCTTATTCGAGTTAATAGGTACGTATGTGTAAGACTTTTAGCACTGAAAATTTAAGCCTAACATTTGCAGTGTCTTGATTCTCAGACGTTCGAGACGGACGACCTCGGACGTCTGAGAATCAGGCTACTTTTCCCCCAGAAACGCCTGATACTCAGGTTAGAGAAGTCGAAGATGGAAATTTTTTCCCCTGAACTATCTCCAATTAAGAAGTTTTCTCGCTTTTTTTTGTAAAAAAACATGGTCTTATTTGCGAACCGCTGACCACATAAAGTGGGTCATCCAACTAAGGGGGAGAGAGCGTGGGGCATAAGGTTGAGGACTGCCATTTCCCCCATTACAAGGATACATAACAAGACTTTAGAAACTGTATTTTAGGACTTTGTACAAGTTGTAAGTCCCATAACTTTGCCTCAAAATTCAAAAGTTGTTCCAAAATTGCAAAAGTTGCCAGAAACTTGCTCCAAATAGCAAAAGTTGCCAAAAAGTTGCAGAGCAACTTGTGGCTAAGGCATTAGCTGAGAATGAGGGCCAGACACAGGTTACTTTTTTTTTATCATTTTTTGTTTTTTTTCATGTGTGATAGCAGTACGCACTTCTTTCGGAACAAACCTTGCAATGTCAAACGCCAACATTATATTACGCATGAAAATTCTCTTCTGGGCTGGCTTGTCTTCTAAAAATGTAATGTAGAATAATACAGAGTAATATAGAATGATATAGAAGAAGACTTTTTTTCGCGATGTGTTGGCTATTTTTGGACTAAAAATAGCCAGCAAATAACATGATCGCATTTTTTTTTATCATTTTCGTTTCTTGGCCACAAAATTCACAAGCAAAACAAGCTTGAAAATTGTAGATGTTTCGGAAACTGAAGCATGGGTTGCCTGTGGATATTAAAAAGGCGATTCAGTTGGTCAGCAGTGCAAGTACCTACCGTGTGTGATTCAATCTTGTCCCCAGGGCACTTCTCCTGTTCCTCCTACATTTAAACGGGAAAGGCGGTCTGGGCACGAGTTTGCAAATCAAAAAAGAGCACAATTAATGACGATACTTCATCTTGCTCTAGTGAATTGAAAGAAAACACTGGAGAAAGATAAGAAAATGTTGTAACTAGCTTTAGCAAGCTAAAACCATTGTACTGTCATGTTGAGAATCGATTGTTTAGTTGTAAAGTTATATTGGAAGAAAATCTGAAAATGATGTAATTTATTTAAACAATTTTTCAAAAGTTTAGAAGTCAAGGAACAGGGGAAAATGGTTCTTTGATGGGATATTCAGTAACTCCGTGTAGGTAGAAAATATGAAAAGCATCTTTAAGATTTGAGACCAGCTTTTGAGTGACGTTCTGAGTAATTCTGAGCGTCTAACAAATTGGAGCATATTGTAAGAAGAAATTAAAAGAATATTTATATTTTATAATTTAAACGGCCATGTTTTGATTGGTTAAGAAAAACAGCTCATTGATAAAACAGTCTTTGTCTAACCGAGTTGTTAATCACTTAAGTCAACTCTAATAACAAGGTATAGTCATCAATTCTTAAATCATCATAATTTACAATATACCCTATACAGCTCCCTCTGAAATGGAATAGGACGCTATATGGCACATTCTATTCTTGTCGAAACTTTATCAATCATAATTTTATATTGACTACATGAATGACTCCGCGTGGGATTTTATGGATAGCCTCGGGGTAATATAACGGCTTATACTTTCTCCTTAAAGTAACACCTGGCTTTGTTTAAAACAGATGGCTTTGAAAATCCGTGTATTAATTTTCACGTAACTATTATCATTTACGACTGTTTATCCAGTTAACGTTTTGTTTAATATATCTTTTAATAAGCAAGTTTTCAAATGGCGTTTACTGTAGTTGCGGATTAGCATTGATGTTGACTTTTGATAAGATTTATCATTATCGCACTTCAGTGATTGATTTCGGTGATACAATCTTTTATATGTATTTGATAATGCAGGCAGATGACAGAGTATTTGTTTTTTTATCTGATTCACTGACAATACTAGTCTGGCAAAGTACTTAAACCACGTGGCTAAATTTAAACTAATCTCCTAGTAAACCCTGTGCAGTCAGTATATAGTGTGTGATAAGTGTATCTATTGATTTTACGCCCAAAAACAACAGTCAAAAGTTAATGCTTTCAAGAAAGTGCTAAAGAGATTAACGGTTAGTAAACAATGGGCAAACACGCTAGCTTCACGTGGCGTACAACTCATCAGTTTTAAAGCAAAGCATTCGTATTTTACTGTGTTTTTTTCTGCCGTTTGTACCGTTCAAAGTGTTTAAGACTGACTACGTTTTCACTGGCCTTGAAATAAATAGCGGTAGTTTTTAGTATCGTTCGCTAATTAAGTGCACTTTCAAGTTATTGATCCTTTGACCTGTGGTCACTTACTGAAGATTTTTTCTATAATTCTTAATTTGAAGTGTTTTGTTTTGAGGTAAACGTTTTATTGAGCGCTGTTTCGTTCAGGCCACTTAGAATAGCGGCAATTGACTTGAATTTTAGTCCTTCACATGCGAAAAAGGTATTCTTAACAGCCGTTAAACGAGTAAAACGGAAAAGATTTTTTGCTATTGCTTTATCACAACTGTAGAGAGATCAATACAGCTAACTCGGGCTTTAGTCTTTCATCGCATCGTGGAGGAGATGTAGATTAAACCACTGTGCCTGAAAACTTGTTTAGTGAGGCGTGATCGACAGTGAAAGAACGGTATACAGACGTCTATACAATGAGTGTTGGCTGTGGTGAACTGTTCGCGATAGATACTTGTAAAATGCTGGCAATTTGTCATGAAGCCGAAAGTCAAGGATGAAAGTTCAATATATTGCACTGTATTCCAACAGTTTCAGCTCGAGGAATATAAATGAATTACGGTGAGAATTGAAATACAGCTGTACATCTCTTTCCTTTTGAATATTGACATTGCTATACGTCCCTTTTCCTCGAGAGAAGAAAACCCGTGCAAAACCCCATTTTGTCAATATAAAATTTAAGAGGCTTCACCACCCGGAAAATAAGAACATTCACCAGCTCAAAAAGTCTCGGAGTGAAATTATGATGTGTGACCCTGAATTAGAGATACTGTGAGGTAGTTTAATTCGGCAGTCTTTTTGATAGTTTGGAAATCGTATGGTGTTTACCTCTTCAGCAGAACTACTTAGGCTTAGCTATCAACAAAATAAAACGTTAGAAATTCTACGGATTTTTTTCTTTGTCACTATTGCATTGGGTTACTCGGCTAAATTGCTAGGGTTTCTTGTTCTATATCTTCCAATCACTTGCCAAAAAATAAATGAAAATCGACAACGGAGCAAAACCACAGCTTCCTAACAGAGGGTAATAAAAACAAAATCGATTTCCTGTTATAACAGAGTGTTGAGGGGCTTTTTTGACAAATAGGAAGTTTTAAAAAGCTTATAAATTACAAGTATCGATTACTAATGAAAACAACATTTGTTTGAGATCCTCAACTCAATTTTCATCCCGAAGTACACCATCCCCCCACCTCCCCCCCTAGGAAGGCTATACCACTTTTAGCTTGTTTTCTAGAATTACCATGGACAAGTTTTGCTAACGGTAAAAAGTTAGGACCTCTTTGTTACGCGAAACGAATAGATCATTAAATGCTTGGTGGAGGCCGTGAAGAACTTTGAAGTCTAAAAAACGCTCCCTTCTGGCTTAAGCAGATGAAAATGTTCTTAGAACTCAGTATCTTGAAGCTATAAAAAGAACATTCGTACATAGCAAAAGGGATGCACATTATACCTTAAAGAGTGTTCTAATGGTCTCAACACCCTTTAAAAAAACCTGCAGATTGAGTAACACCAAATACGTCTTCCCAGCTCGATCAGACTTGAAGGGTAGACACAAAATGCTTAAAAGGGTTTCTTTTGATCGGTGGTACCGTTACAACACTCAAAATCCACTCGCATTACACTTCTTCCTATACCACCCTGCGAGCCGAGTTTTTCGCACGCCAGTCCACACCGCGAAAATGTAGCTTCTGTCGCAGGGCTTTTTCCTTCTCCCCACTGAATAAAGAGTTAAAAATTTTAATATACAGCTATTTCGAGAAAGGTTGTCGGAAAAGAAATGTGCACGCGACAATCCCGAAAGGTGATATGGGATATGATCAATACACTATTCCTGACACTGCAGCTGTCGAAGTTACTTTTGCTGCTTTACTTTAGCACTCGCAAATGGCCTCTCGAGCCATTCTTTCAAATTTCCTCGAAGAACAATGAACTCAAAACCACTCTCAATATCCTTTGGGATTGTCGCGTGCACTTTTTCCCGATCGACAAGCTTTCTCGAAATAGCCGTATTTTGTCGGCGTATATTTTTACAGCCGGATTATAGAACCTTGATCAATTCAGACCTTTAAAAACAGTAAATTCCCTTTAATACAGAAAGAAATAGTACATTTCAAAACTTAAGAAAATTCTGTCTTCTGTTAGTAACTGCATGCTCTAGGGTTTCTATAGTTCACGGTGATTTATTAGCTCATATATGATGACAGAAACTCGACGAAATATCATCACTGGTACTAAAAAAGTTGAAAGAAACATTCGGATTTCTTGACTTGAATACTTAGTTTTTAATAAGTTAAATCTAACCCAGATGTGGCTCTTTTTAATGAGATTACTGAGGAGTCTAGCGCACGCATTATAAAAAGATCCGCTAAATTAAAATCTTTTGAAACAAATTACGTACTTCATTAATTCACGCTATTATCGCGTTCATTATACATTCGTTAACTATTTTAGTTAAGGCATGACAATTAACAAAACCTATTTTCTCTAACACTGTACTAACGTTTCCTAAATTGGAGCGAGTCCTCTAGCGTCTAAGAAAAACTCGCATTGCTCTCTCTCGCAGTCTAACTTTCAGAAAGTTTCCATCCGTTTCTTTTCACTGATTTTCACATTGATCAACTAGCTCAACTTCTCTTGGTTGAATGATATCGCCGTCAACAGAGTGAATCACATGGTCTGATTCCTCGCTTTGTAGAACGTTCCAAAGATCTCCGATATAGCGAATTGCCAACCGCAGAGTTTGAATCTTAGACAGTTTTTTCTCCTTTGGAGCGAACGATGAAGGAAGCCGGTACCGCAGTTGGAGCATCGCGGCGCTTATACTGCGCATGCGAGTTCGCTCTCGTGCGTTGGCAGTCTGCCTTTGTTTGCTCAAGCCAGTTAGTCTTGGCTTCCTGCGCCGTTTTCTTCTTCCATTAGTGGCTTGACTTGTATCGCGAGCCTTTTCTGTGGCCATAACTTTTAAACTGTGCTCAACAGGGAATTACTTGAAAAATCACGCGAGCAAGTAGGAAGCAATCCCTCTCTCTTGGTTTTACGACAACGTAACGTAATTATAATTTCTTGCCAGTCTAAGGTTCCTTTCTCTTAAGCGCTCTCAAGTCAGCAGCACTAGGAAGAAAAATGACCTTTTTACCACAAAACAGAGACGCAAAATAAGCGGGAGTATATATAAGGACCAATTCTGTGCTCGCGATGATTAAGCTGTACCCCCAGAAGTATAGGATTGCAGCTGACTTATCAACTGTGAAATCAAATTATCTGCAACCAGATAAGCCAGCCTTGTCTAACGGTACGTTCTTTCTCAATGCGTGGCCGGCTGCTGGTGCCAACGCCGAGGCAAGCTGCACGACAAAGGTATCTGCCCGGTTTTAAAGTCAATTTGTTGTGTTTATTCTCAGCATGGTGGGCGACCTAACGCTCAACAATTGAACAAAGTCACTGCAGGGGAGAAGCGTTTTAACTAAATCTGCAGGTAACCGGAAAAAAACACTCTTGGGCTTCTTTGTTTATCGATTCGCGCGTGTATATAACATCTTTTACATCTCTGTCACACCGTGCAATCGTAAACAAAGGACAAAGTTAGACAAATATTATTCTTACGATTTCAGGCATAAACTTTTAAACAAATACGCACTCTTTATTTTGGCTTATCTATTCGTCTGGAAACCTGTAGTCCACATCAATTCATTATATCTCGCCCAACAATTCTTTTTGTGATCCGTTCAAGACTTCTGGGCAAAGTGGCCAATGCTTTTTTTATGGTAACGTTGGGACTCGTATCTGAAACCCTTACGGCCTAGAATCTTTAAACTGTAACACTAAGGTTCTATATTTTAACAGAACTTTAAACGATACTGCCAACACAAATGCACCAATAAAAAAAAAAACAGATAGACAATACAAACCCCAGGCTATTGAAAATTAGTTTTTAATTTTTATGAAAATGAACTCATGAAACTTCTAACTTTATTTTCCCACGGGTGCTACTTCACAAATAAATACCTATTTTTCTCTTTTTTTTGAAAATTTTAAGTGTTGTTGTGATGTTTTAAAGTACATAAAGTGGCACTTATCGGAAGGTAAAAGCGGTTTCTGTGGACACGATTACCTTGTTAGCATAAATTAAGCATTGATCGCTTAACAAAAAGATAAGAAAAATTGATAAATGCTACTATATTTGGCAAAACGCCGAACGCACGAGGAAATTAACTCGTGGTTTTATTGCCCTAGGGCAAGTCCTCGCGAAAATGAGGGAGGGAACGTTCTTTCAGTACGTACTCTGTTGATCTTAGCTATTATGGATAGTACCTAAAATTACACCTTTAATCCACGGACAGTTGGCTGAAATACCAACTTCCTTTGGCTGACTGTTGCGAAACAAATCGTAGCATGTACAATTCATAGTAGAAGAAGTTTCAGTCTGAATGGAATCTTCGTCTCTCGTTAGGCTTTCATGCACCGACTACGAATTTAGACCGACTTCATCACACGTTTCCCAAATCGCAAAACTGTCAATGGTGTATCCGTCCTTTGAACGTTTGAGTGGCAGATGCGTCTCGCAGTTGCTTCATCATTGAGCACTTCAAAAGGAGCCTAAATTCAAGCCAAAGCATTTTTCAGGATTTTTTTTTGTCAATTTAGCGAAGCTTATTATTTGTATACGTTTAGAATGCCTTACGTAATCTATGACAGAAAAACTTAAAGATTCTGCACACTATTCATAAGTCGCGATACCGAACCAAAATATTCGATTTTCTCGAAATTTTGTTAACATTGCCTCTACAATATCGGATGCTTCGGGGTGGATTGATAATGTTGACGTGACTTGATGTTTCCTTCCGAGCCTATGATCCTTTGGTCAGTTGGCTGGAAACCAGCTCGACGAGCTCGACGGTTACCAGGCGTCCCACCTTGTTCTAAAGCCACGCCCTTGTAAGTGCAAGTGTAGTGTTCCCTTCCATATACAACAATGAGCCGTCTGTTTTCCGCGCAATAGTGGAGCTTGGAGACAAAACAGTCGGCGATTTATCGTGATGTTCTCGATGATGGATGGTTTATTGCGATAGTGGAAGCAAGATTCAGTTATGAACACTATGCTTGTAGAAATATAACAAAACAAAAACCTCACCGAGGAATAATTAACTTTATTAGTTAGTCGCAAACATCATCGCGTCACCTGTCGAACTTTTATTTACAATTGAAGAACATGTACATCGCATTATTACATAAAGTAGCCCCTAAATCAGCGTAACAAGGCTAAATTTCTTTTAAGGTTTATATGGACTTTAAATATCACTGGACTGGCTGGACAATCGGCTGTGATGATATGGAAGAATGTCCATTCCTTTCCTGAGCAGAAACACCACCGTTTTCTGGAATTGCATTTACGCTGGATTCGTCATTGCTTGTCCTGCAAATAAGTACCTATATTTTACCCATTGGTTCGATATCCATTGATTTGTCATCATAATTTATGTTCGTAACTTTTCTGATTTTCTGACAAATATGGTGACTTCTTCGGACATATGACCAAAAAAATCACCTTTATGTAAAGACAAAGTAAAAGTTTAATTGTATGTCTCTTAAATTTTTAAGGGAAAATAAAAATTCCGAAGAGCGTCAGTGGGTATCGAACCCGGGGTGTAGAGTCCGCATGTCCACCACCTTACTGCTAGGTCACTGACGATTGGTAGGCTAGAATGGATTTGATTTGAACTTATACAGCAACAACCCTAACCCTAAAATAGAAGGAGTCAGTGTTTAACCCTAACAGTTATTTTCAGTGCTTAACCCTAATCGGTATTGCTTAACCCTAATCACTAGAGTCAGTGCTCAAAACCGAAGCCGAAGCGATAAGGAATCCTACGTTGTGTAAACTTTATGAGGTGTCCGAAGGGGTTTAGGCCGATGGGATCTTATGCTAACCCCGTTTCAAGGGGGGAGAGAGGGGGGCGGGGATTCAATAGCGGCTGTCTACAGAAGATCCCAAGTGTTGTTTACGTAGAAAACCTGCAGTTCCGGTTAAGCCATTATTGTTTACACATGCAAGCAACTTACGGTGGTGGATCAGCTTCGATCTGTGGAGCGGGAGTGGGACGATCTTCGCTGAACGGCGAGTCTGTAAATAAAATAGAAAATAAATAAGTTGATCAACTAGAAATGAACTGAAAAAATATGGTTTTAAACGCAACTGAAAGAGGAAAAGGCTCGATAATAAATTCGATCACAACATTATTATAAACCTTCGGGAATTTTTGGATTTGGGAGCAGAGGGCTAACTAGGAATAGGTCCGTGAATACATGCACTTAGGGATATATCCTGCATAACACCGAATTTCTAGTTCTTACCTGCCCCTAGTCTGTCAGCTTTAGTGAACGGTACAGTCTCTTTAGCTCTACCAGGTCTTTCCTTAAAAAACAAACAAACAAACAAAGCGTGGCTAAGTGCAAAGCTAGCTATTGACATGAAAATGAGTTGTTTTTCTCATGCAAATAAAACTAATTTTCAGGAGAAAGGTTTTGCACTTAGCCTCGTTTTGAAAGTGAGAGTTTTTGGAACTTGAAAATGGCCTATTGAGCCTGGTTCCAAAGACCAAACCAAGTTATGTGAAAGAGCGGAGGAGGCTTGGAGCCGACTCCCAACAAGCTTGAGGGGTTGAGGGGTTAAATCCGAACTAGCTCACGGAGGGGACTGGGAACGATGCTGGTTGCAACTGACAGACTTGAAGAAGGGATAAATCCTATTCAAACCTGAATCTTACTGTAGTTTTTACATGCTTTCTATTTTATTATCATTATTTTTTCTTTTTCTTTGTGTGTTTGTATCCCTTGGTTTTCTGTTTTAGTGTTCGTGCCATAAAAACGTGAAAAAGAAGGAAAATATTAATATGGTGGAACGCACAAAAAATGAAGCGATCTAAAGCAGGATTACATCGACAAACGAATTACCAAACTAATATCTTTGAAAATGTAAGGAGATAAAAAATACAATTGATTGACTTATTTAGAAGAATAACACTAGACAGTAATCAAATCGAATTATTGTTTGTTCTCATTGATGAATTACAGTGCGAGTACTATAACCGGGCCACCGAGACAAAGTTGTCCAATCGGATTACAAAAAAATAACAATACACTCCGAGAAAGTTAGTTGTCAATCATATTTATCATGAAACGAAATAATCAACATGGATCGAAGCCCGCTGAGGAAAGTACGTGTTTCCCGAGAGGTCCGTTAGAGTGAGTGACGGACGGGAGAAACGTAGACGGCAGTTATATTTTTGACTTGCGGTCGCACATTAATGCAAAAGGCGGCAATAGGAGCGAAGAAATTGCTGGTAGGTGACAAAATAACAGCTTGTGTCAAAGTCCCGTCTCCTGGGTGTTGTATGCAAAGTTTCGGATGGAAAAACATTTTCTGGTGAAACATTTTGTTTCACCGAAAAACGTTTTCTATCAATATTACGTTTTGTGCTTGAGTAACTTATTGTTTTTTTTAAGAGGTGCGGACTGGCCGACAACCAACTTTCCTGGAATGTATTGTTATTTTTCTGTAATCCGGCTGGTCAACTTTGTCTAAGTGGCCCCTGTTACAGTAGTCGCACTGTAACCATTCCTTGTCGTAAAGCTGGTTTAATATAGGTGGCTTTGGGCAATTTTTTTTTTTGTATTTTAATGAATTTTTATTTTGTTATGTATTACATTTTTTTTACACACTGACAATGAACACGTGCGAAAAATACAAAAAAAGGAAAAGAAAACTAAACATATATACATCTCAGACTCACACACAATTACACACTGACAAAAAAGAAAGAAAGAAACACACCCCAGTACCTTCTTCTTTGGGCATTGGGCATTTAGGCATACAGAACAATGCAAAGATTTACCTGAGTGATCACCAAACGATAGCTTCCTAATGCCCAATTTCTATAGCAACTTTTAGTGAACCAG